CTCCTGCCTCATACCTGTCCTCACCTGCCGCATGCCTGTCCTCCTGCCTCATACCTGTCCTCACCTGCCTCATACCTGTCCTCACCTGCCTCATACCTGTCCTCACCTGCCGCATACCTGTCCTCACCTGCCGCATACCTGTCCTCATCTGCCGCATACCTGTCCTCACCTGCCGCAGTGGGATGTGGCTTGTAAAACGGGACCCCTAGTGGTCTCTGACATGGACTTGCCATGATTTGTTAAAACTATTTTTAGCACTGTTTCTCCCTGGTCTCTGCCCTTTTTAAATGTTTTTAGCTGTGGGGGTTAAAATATAACTCATCTGTCCAGATCAGATTGATGATGTCCTATTTATTTTATTTAGCAAACACTAAAATAGAACTTACTATTTGTGAGGCATTGTGCTGTGCACTTTAAAGTATCAACTTATTTAATCCTTAGACCAACCATATTTTCAAAATAATCCTGTCTTTAAAAAAAACCTGTTGTGCCGGCCGAGTGGCGCGAGGGTTAAGAACTCGCTTGGGACGCCAGAGGGCCCCGGTTCGGATCCCACATATGAGGGCCAGTGACACTGCCCTCTACAGCTAGGATGCTGAACAACAGCTCAACCTGGAGCTGGGCTGTCGTGAGTCACCGGCGACAGCGTGGGCTGCAGTCCCTGTGACAGTGGGTTGCCATGGGCTACCGTGTGTAGCCAGCAGCCACAGTGAGCAGCTAGCAGCCGCAGTGAGCGGCCGTCCAGAAGCCGGCGACTGATCTGCCTCGCCTGGGAAGAGGGCAATGATGTTGCCAACTTGGGCCAGTGAAGCAATTTCCTCCAGAACTAGACTGAAGAACAAAACGACAGCAACTTGTCTGTTCCCCTTTCCCCAATTCCCCAGCACTGTTCCCATCCCCCCAGTTCCTCAATAAAAAAAAATAAATCTTAAAAACAAACAAAAAAACCCCTGTTACAGTCATCCCCCCTTATCTGCAGGGGACACGTTCCAAGACCCTGAAACCACGGATAGTATCATCTTACATATACTGCGTTTTCCTTTACATGCCTACCCATGATAAAGCTTAGTTTATAAATTTGGCACAATAAGCGATTAACAACAGTAACTAATAATACAATAGGACAATATACTGTAATAAAAGTTATGTGAACGTGATACCTCTCTTTCTTTCTCAAAATATCTCATTGTCCTGGACGTACAGCGTGGAGACAATGGACAAAGGACAAAGGGATGACCCACTTCCTGGGTGGGACAGTGGGACGGTGTGAGATTTCATCACGCCACTCCGAATGGTGAGCAGCTTATAACTTAGGAATTGTTATTTCTGGAATTTTCCATTCAATATTTTAGGCTGTGTTGACTGCGGGAACTGAAGCTGCGGAAAGCTAAACCGGGGAGGAGCGGGGACAGCTGTAAATTGAATGACTAAAAGGTGACACTGTTAGGAACAAAGTGTCCCTTTTCATGTCTTGTAATTATCGTTAGCTAACAAGTAGGTGTGATTGATTCCAATAGCATAAAGTTTTAAAAAGTACTGAATTCCTCATCAGAGGAATTGTAATTTTATTTCCCTGCAGGGTGAATCTCTAAGGCTTTTTGTGTTTCCCTAGGGCTGCCATGACTAATCGGCACAAATTGGGTGGCTTAAAACACCAGGAGTGGGTTCTCTCACTGTTCTGGAGGCCGGAAGTCAGGGACTTGGGTGTGGGCAGGGCCCCCCGCTGAGGGCTCAGGGAGGGTCCTCCTCCATCTGGCAGGAAGGACGCTTCTGGCAATCCTTGGCTTCTAGATGCATCTCTTGACTCTCTGCCTCCTGGTCCCATGGCTTTTCCGTGTGTGTGTGTCTGTCTCTGTACAAATCTCCCTCGCCTCTCTCTTATTAGATCAGGGCCCACCCTAACGACCTCATTTTCACTGGATCACACCTGCAAAGACCCCATTTCCAAGTAAGGTCCCTTTCACAAGCCCTGTGGGTTTGGATGTGGATGTGTCTTTGGAGGATGCAGTTCCACAACACCTACCAACAGGCAGGACCGGTCTGGCTGCCTGTCTTTGCGTTTCTCAGTCCTTACCGCCGTGATGTCCAAATGCTCCAAAGAGGAGCCCACTACAAATTATCCACATAAGAAAATGGAACGAAAATCACGGAACGAGAGCTTCGAAGCATCTTATGCAGGTAAAACCCATGCATTCGAGTTGGCTTCATTGGTCAGGGCCGAAGGGATCTGTAAATAAGACGAAGGTTATCCTATGTGACTTTGCCTTTCTGATAATGTGTAAAGACTAAAATGAGATAACCACACCTCATGGATTCTCAAAATGTGTGCAGTGTAGTCACAGCTAACTGGCGCTCAGGTGACGCTGACAGATGCACAAACGGGGCCACAGAGAAGGCTGCTAAGAGCCCAACCCTGGGGAGAGAACGTGGTGCCTGGCAAGGTCCACGGACACTGATTCCGCGGGGAAGCTTTGCCGGATGTGTATCCGCGGCTCCCGAAGTCAGTTTCTCCTGGTACCCAGGGGTCCTCTCACACGTGTACATGCACACCCTTCATCTCCGAGTGTTTTCAAGGGTGACGGCTGTGGCTGTTAGCGCTGTTGTTGTAATTTTCCTCTTTAGAGGCAGCAGTTACACACACTGTGAAGAGTCAATCAAAGGCAGCCCCTCGAGGGAAAACACAAACCTTCCTACGTACCAACATTTTTATTTTTTTAAAGATTTTTATTGGGGAATTGGGGGGATGGGAACAGCGCTGGGGAATTGGGGGAAGGGGAACAGACAAGTTGCTGTCCTTTTGTTCTTCAGTCTAGTTGTGGAGGACGTCGCTTCACTGGCCCAAGTTGGCACCATCATTGCGCTCTTTCCGGGTGAGGCAGATCAGTCGCCAGCTTCTGGACGGCCGCTCACAGCGGCTCTTGGCAGCTCACGCTGGCTGCAGGCTACACATGGTAGCCCATGGCAACCCACTGCAGCCTACGCCATCGCCAGCGACTCACGGCAGCCCAGCTCCAGGTTGAGCTGTTGTTCACCATCTTAGCTGTAGAGGGCAGTGTCACTGGCCCTCATATGTGGGATCCGAACTGGGGCCTCTGGCGTCCCAAGCCAGCTCTTAACCATCATGCCACTTGGCCGGCCCGTACCAACATTTTTAACAAAGCAAGAAGCACACGCCACATAGGGAAACGGTCCCTATGACATGCACACAGTAACTGCAGTGTGACATAAATGACGGACCCGACACCAGACACATCAGCCATATAATACATGTGACTGGACTTGGCCATTTCGAAAGAGATTTCCAAATTGGCTCCAAAGCAAAGCCTAGCTCTTGGTGTGTAAAAGAGACACAGCTGAAATGTGTGATTCAAAAGGGCAGGAAGTAAAGGCGAGCGGAGATTCACAGGGCAATGGAGACGGCAGCGAAGCAGGTGTGGCCCTCGTGCCAGACCCCGCGGGGTCCACTCTCCCGGGGCACTCAGGCAGCAGGAGCCCCGTCAGGCGACAGTAAGCTGAGGACGGGTTTCCCAAAGGTGCCACAGGAGGCGGGACAGTGCTGCTTCAGACGGGTCGCAGAGCGACCGTTTCAGGAGTTTGATAAAAGCGGCACCTTTATTCTTTCTCTCCTGTAATGGAGGGAGGAACTTGGCCCTGCTTTCTGTGTGGTGTGTGTGGGGCCAAGTGCAGCCTCGAGGGAAAGAAGCGAGCCCACTGCGGCCTCTCGCGGGGCGTGGGGCCCGGCGCCGTGTTTCCTGCTGGCCCCCCGGCCAGTGTGCTTCTCTTCGGGTGATCACTGTCTCGGGCTGTTCGTGAGAACATGAAGGGACTTCACCTTGTGTCTGGACTGGCATGGTGTCTCTGGTCACGCCGGCGCCCAG